TATCGGTACTATCAAACGTTCTCAACAGACTGATGCTTAGCCAGATGAAATATTCAATGGACGCCAAACATCCAGATCAACAGACCGGATCCCATGAGGATCTGTCATGCACATACCACATCGCGACACTACGGATCATCGTTGAACAATCAATTGAATGGAACTCGTCACTACACATCAACAGCCTTGACTATCAGACAGTATTCGACGGTGTGGATAGGAGAACCTAATTGAACATTCTTCGACACTACGGAGTGAGTAGCTGAGAACATCGTCAACACCATTCGGAATTCATACGACGGATTACACTGCAAAGTCATGTATGGAGGACAGACAGATCACAAATGCATTTCAAGTGGTGACTGGTGTCAGACAGGGCTGCTCTGTCTCCCCCTTTCTCTTTCTTCTGGTTTATGAAGACCTCTACATCTGAGGTGAAGCATGGAATACAATGAACAGGTTGGATGCAACTAGACGATTTGGACTTCTCAAATGACCTAGATTTTCTATCCCAAATACATCAAATGTATGTCAAGACAAATAGTGTAGTAGCAGCCTCTGAAGCGGTGGGCCTAAGCATCCACAAGGGAAAAAGCAAGATCCTCGTATACATTATGGTGAACACCAGCCCGGTCACACGTGATGGAAGAGGGGTGGAGACTTTCACTCACCTACCTGGACAGCATCATCGATGCACAAGCAGGATTCAATGAAAATGTAAAGACGAGGATTGTCAAAGGAAGGACTGCATTCATATAATTGAAAAACATATGGAACTCAAAACAACTGTCAATCAATATCCAAGTCACAACCTTCAATACAAACGTCAAGATAGTTCTGCTGTAGAGAGATAAAACCTTGAGATCTACCACAACCACCATCAAAAAGGTACAAGTATGTTTAAACAATTGTCTATGAAAGATACTCAATGTCCGTTGACCGGATAGCATCAGCAACAACCTACCTAGGGAGAGAAGAAACCAAATTCCAGATGAAAATGAAATTAGGAAAAGATTATTGAGGTGGATAGGACATACATTGAGGAAATCATCAGACTGCATCACGAGACAAATCCTATCTTGGAATCCTGAAGGGAAGCGTAAAAGAGGAAGATCAAGAAACACCTTGTATCGAGAGTTGGGAGCAGACATGAAAATAAGGGATTGTCCAGGACCGGGTTCGATGGAGAGCGCTGGTGAGTGGCTTATGTTCCTCCACGAAGGGTAACAAGCGAAAGTAAGTAATAATAACTGTTGTATACAATATTATGCAAAACGAGGGACACAACGATAAACGAAAATAAAACGCACATTTTTAAGATAAACTGCAACAACTGCTACAAGCACTACATGTGGCAAGGACACCCCGCTCTTTATCTACGTCCACATGAACAACAGTAAACTATTAGGCAACATCACATGTCCTTGTTCATATCCACACATGTGGACAACTATGGACATCTGTCCGATTGAGAAAACATCAAAATATTGGATAGAGGGAACCTAAAGAGACGCAGAAAATCTAGTAAAGCATCAGTCAAAGACATATCAAAATCGACAAAATCAGAATTCATAAATAGCAAGGCCAGAGTTTAATTCAGGAGAGCAAACAACCAGGACAAATATTTATATAACGACCACACAATTGTGGATAAAGCCAACCATATTCCAGGTCAAAAGAACAAGCTATTGGTCAATCGTGAAGGAAATTTAATAGCTCGCTTCTCTTTGACGTACTTACTATGTTGTTCAGAAGAACAATAAAAGCTGCACAACTAAACCACTCAGATCAGTGACTACAAAAGCTCCAAAATTTTTATCTTCAAACTACAGCTTGATAGAGGAAGTATTTTGAGGAGGTCACAAATAATCACTGTTCTACAACGCTACTGTTCACGAATCCTTCTTACGTATCAATCCCAGAGCCAATCAAACCGACAGTCAAGGGTGATGGGATGAGGAAATATGTCTGAATTATGGGTTGAGGTATATTAGTGTATGGAAACCAGGGTGATCAGTTGTCATAAGAGATGAGCAGCACGATCTACCCAGATGTTATGTTGCAGATGCTCAGCCAAGTCTCTACAGTTAGAGCCGTGTATAGGAAAACTAATTAGTTCAACATCAATGTAGAAGGCTTAGAAAGCTATTTATCGTATGAATTAACTTATCATTACAATTTCTTTTCAGTTGTCTTCTGGTCATGGCTCCATAGCTTTATATTTGGATATAAAAACTAATCTCAATTAAATGAGCTCAGACATTCATTTGTGAAATCCACAGACGTCTGCCTTTCACTGATCCTTTATTGCATATTTCAGGTAAACAATAAGGACTTATAACACAGTTCAATCCGTTTTCAGTAACTGAAATATTCTAATCCAGACATTAAATAGTTATTTACATCTGATTTAATTCCTACACTTCCGATATCTTACTAATATCTAATACAACTTTTAGAAAAGTTATTTCGAAGACGCTCAATAAAATATAGATTACTAACATTTTGGTTGAGAAAGAGAGCAAGGTGAGAAAAAATGCCAACAGAGAAACATTCAGTAACCACATGCTATCTACTTTATATAAGAAATAAATGACAATAACATACAAGAGTAAATAAAAAATGAATTTTTTTCATCTATATATATAATTATACTAATAACAGAACAGAGACCTTCGTGCAATTTGTCTGCTTGTGCACCAATCGATAAACTCTGTAGTCGTTTTCGAATTATTGCTGTTATTCACAAATTATTTATCAAATTATCATACCAGAAAGTCAAGAAAAAGTTGGATGTGAAATGTATAGTTTTTCGAGAAGTTCTAGTAAGCTTATCAGTTTCAAATGAACTAACCACAAGCATTGTTGTCGATGTTTTTTTCTGGTAAGCGAGTTCTTCTTCTTCGACACTACGGAGTTCCTGAAAAGATTGTCAATATTATCCGGAACTCATACGACGGACTACAATGCAAAGTCGTGCATGGAGGACAGCTGGCAGATGCATTCCAAGTAAGGACCGGAGTAAGACAAGGCTGTCTACTCTCTCCCTTCCTTTTTCTTCTGGTGGTCGACTGGATTATGAGGACCTCAACATCTGAAGGAAAACACGGAATACAATGGACAGCTCAAAATCAATTAGACGATTTGGACTTCGCAGATGACCTAGCCCTCCTATCGCATACACACGAACAGATGCAGACAAAGACAACCAGTGTAGCAGCAGTTTCTGCATCAGTAGGCCTCAGCATACACAAAGGGAAAAGCAAGGTCCTCAAGTTCAAAGTGGAGAACAGCAATCCAATCACTCTTGATGGCGAAACTCTGGAAGATGTAGAATCCTTCACATACCTGGGAAGCATCATCGATGAACAAGGAGGCTCAGATACAGACGTAAAGGCAAGGATTGGCAAAACAAGGGTCGCATTCCTACAATTGGGAACATATGGAACTCAAAACAACTTCCAACCAATATCAAAGTGAGAATCTTCAATACCAACATAATAGGCGTAAGTAAGTAAGTATTGTTGTCGATGTGTTCAAGTCATTATTTATAAGACCGTATTGACTAAGCTTAACGGTTATCGAGTTGTGACCACCTTCAGCGATAACTAAATTTGACTGATCAAAAATTAAACAATTGTGTATTTTCATTCAAATATGCATCTTATTTTAAAGCTAATTCTTTATGCTTAATGATAAGTTATACATAACAAATACGCTAATAATTATAAAAATAGTAGGCAGAAACCATTCTAGTTATGGTTGAAAATAACAGGTTTATAGCACATAGATTCAGTTAATCAAAACGACTTTTTTCATCATTTCTTTCATAATCTACTCAGTCTTTTTACTACTAAAACGTGACTTTCGTCGTTTTTGAAAAACAAAGAATGCTAATTAATGTATGTAAACATAGCACGTCAACAACAGTCAAAATTATTGGCACAAAGATTGGATATAGTTCATCGGATAAGACTGTAATCTAGAGTAGCATTCTAAAAAGTTACTTTCAAGAAATTTACCGACACATTTCAAAGCCCTGTAGCAAAACCCAGATAGTGTCCTTAATTTCAAAACTCGATAAAAGTGTGGACATTTACTACTACAGATTGGCTTTCTTATCGATCTTCTAGAATTAGCTATTTAGTGGATAGCGGTGGAAACCTGTTATCTGTAGACATTTTGACCTTCAGAATTAAGGTGACATCGTCTTGTTATTATAAGCAAAGATGGACAGTGGCTAGCAGTGGAATCCAGGACGCACGTTTCGTCCTGTTTGGGGCTCGTCAGCTCGATGTACCTGCATCTCAGAGTTGATGTTCACTCTGGGACTCGAACTCAGTACCGTTCGCTTCAAACCCCATCGCGTTATCCACTTAGCTACTGAGTCCTGATAGCCACTTGCTTGTGCAATGGGGTGGTTTTCTTAGGGGTGCACTCCCCGAGCCTTTGAGCTAAAAGTCTAATCCAGTGGAGTAACACTGAGAGATGCAGTCCCACGGTAGCCCACGGTCAACAACGATTAGTTCATACGCCATTTGTTCCGTCAGGACACTGGAGCCCATGTGCACCATTGGTTTAGAATCAGGGTTTTCCAACTTCCCTGGGTGGATCAATCGTATCCACCAATTCTGTTAAAGCGCCGGACACTCGCTTTTCGTCCTCTCAATTTCGTAAAAAACACTCCTGTCGCGAGAAGGTGGTTGTATGCACGCGGCCATGTGAGAGCATTTGAGAGAGCTGATTCTCTCCACTCTTGGCAAAAAATACTTTCCACATACAAAACTAATGTCCGGTTCATAAATCAAATGATGGAATAAACACTTAACAATGAATATTATGCACTAGTAACATATAAGGATAAGAATCCAGATTTTTAGCGTTCCAGAGATCATTCATGGGGCAAATCATGTTTGACAAAATTTGTCTTTTCTTTTGGTTTCCTATTGACAAGCCGTGCTTCAACTAAAGACATAAACAATTCTAGATAGTGATAATTACAGCAAGAACATACCATAATTAAATAACTTAATAGTGACTGACGCTGAAGATTTTTTATCCAACCTGTTATTTAATAAAATACCTATAATACAGAATAAATCTGTTATAGATAAATAAAGAAAAAAACCCTACTAATTGGATGAATCTATTAGCGTAAAAATAATGGAATGTTGAATTATAACAAAATCAAATGATTTCTTCCTCCACAAGAAAAAAAAATAAAAATAATGTTTGTTAGTCAAAAAGTGCAACTAAACATCAAGAGATAAATAATTAATAGAATAAGTAAATTCACTGATAATATACACGATACAGTTGAATAGACAGTTTATGAAAAAATAAGTGCAATAAAGATAGGATCCAAATATGAAAGAATAATAGGCACATAATCAAGCTAGTGTGAAATTTGATTACATTTTCTAAAATATAAGAAAAAAAAACAAATAGCGAGAACCTGAAGACTTCTTCATATTGAATGTTTTATTTCCTGCATTCATTTGGAGGTAATTCATCAGATACACACAGACGTACAGAAATGAGTATGAAAAAGAACAGACTTCAATAATATCACAGGTAAAATATTTCTGAAAGTTTTAGCACATTAGTATGTCATTTTTAGGAGAATAAGAGTAAATTTGTTCTAAAAGATAGGACAATATGAAGTGACAATGCTCCACTCCTAACCGCTAACAATGATAGTTTCGGTATAAACCAGTTAATATATTTTGTGGCTTCATCGATAACACGAGATCAATGCAGTTTAATATTTTGTTTCATTATAATCACCTATACCATTTATAGTTGGTGAAATATATTTGTGTTTACTATGTGGGATTAAGTGCCCTGGTAGAGTTTCTGGAATTTCACCACCGTTAACAGCTATGCTGACCAAACGCTTAGCAACAATGAATTCATCGATATCAAGATAACCGTCTTTATCAATATCTGAAAGTTTCCATATACGACTTAATGTGATATTAGGTAAATGAGATTCCATCAATTTCGCTTTTAATCGTCCGCTTCCACAAAGGAGACCATCAACTGGTTGAAGACTTTCAAATTCCTAAAAACAAACGCAATACGAAGACGGATAACATTTAAAAAAACTAGATCGAAATACTTAACTTTGAAGAAATTAATCAAAAACATTAAATATTCTAATTCGTTTTACGTCTGTATTATTACCTGCCCGATAGATTGACCTTAACTTGGTGATCAAACGTCTAATAATGGCACCAATAATATGCTAGCAAATCTTAGAATGTGTCAATAAAACAGAAACTTCTTACTGTCGGAGGAATCCTAAAACACCCCTCATCAAAATCTATAGAGGCCCTGAAATACCAGGACAGCAATCAGCGTTGAATAAAAACTTCGCATAAACACCTGGAAAATGCAGAAACATATGTCGCGATCTTGATTGGATATTTATCGATGCTGCTAGATATAGTGTGGTTTCATAAATTTCTGTAAGCCCAAGGTCACGTATAACTCTACAAATACCCTTGTTTTTTCTGTACATAAATTAACTTTGGAATAAAGCTTTTACTCGCAATTCGCGTCGTTTCTTAATTGTTCCAGTTGACGTGTAGACGTAGATAAGGTTATAAAAACCGGCTAGGAAAGTTTAAGGGTACTTGTAGCAAGATTTATTAATTACACTTGTTGGTATCACATTAGAATTTCTAATAGCTAACTTCCCAAATCATTAGGCGAGTTAAGCTGGGTGCAATATCTACCTAATCCATAAGAGGTCACAAACTACTTATACAGTCAGTCAGCTACAACGTAGGACCAGACACATATATGCATCAGCCAAAATTGCCACATCTCATTAGCACACCAAGATGAACACAAAATTCATAGAAGCAATTACTTCAATGATGATAATATATAAAAGAAAGATTGCAATAAGGATATAGTACAGCAAGAAAGAATTAGTTCGCAGAAAGAAAGATATGAAGCGATTTTAATCTCATAGTTTAAAGGGGAGATAGAAAGTGTATACACCGACGCTATTGTGATCGATTCCGAGACATGTCACACAGAGTCTCCAACCATTGGTTACGATAGTCACGCGGACCCCAACCAAGTAGTTTGTATTTAACAACATGGCTCAGACTAGAAGTTAGTGACTCCAAGCACTGATGCCACGTTTTGGTTTGGCCGCCCCTAATTTTCTTCCAACCCTCTCCAACACTGTTTAGCATTTCAGGTCGTGGTAATCGGTGTTCAGGCATACGTAACAGGCGACCCAACTATCTCAGCTGATGAAAACTCACAACTTCATCAACTGATTCCCTAATACCCTTCGTCTAACATCATCATTACTTACTCAGTGATCCAAGCAGATGCGAGCAATATTTCTAAGGCATCTGTGATCAAATGCTTGTAGCTTACGAGTATCTTCTACTCTTAATGGCCACGCTCCGCAGCCCTAAAGTAGAACAGAACGAACTGCTGCTCAGTATACTCATCCCTTAAATGATAGACGGATATCTCGCCTTCGCCGTAGGTGACGTAAGTTGGCAAAACCAAACGAGCTTTTCGAATTCGTGCTGAGATTTCGTCAGACACCAACACATTAGGGCTGATCAGACTTCCAAGATAAGTGAAGTTGTCAACGCGTTCGACTGCTTCATTCCCTATCCTTAGTTCAGGTGTTGACGCAGGCCAGTTCTGAAGCAACAACTTGCATTTAGAGGGGGAGAAGCGCATCCCAAACATTCTGCTATTGTTTCTCAGTGCTGTCAAGACTCTGCATTTTATAAGTGTCTTTGCCACACAGGACAATATCATCTGCGTATTCTAAGTCGATAAGTGGACCTCCTGGTAGTAGATCGATGCCCAAAAATTCAGTCGAGAGCGTTGCTAATACAGTATACTACAGTCGTAAGAACAATAAACACACTGGTTTCAAACTACGACTTTTTCATAATGAAATAAATTACGGATTTTTGTATTGTATATAAACCTCTCCAAAATATTTGAATAAAGTTAGAATTGTAGATAACCTAAAAGTAGGAGACAATTGATCGCTTCAGTAAATTAGTCATATATAAGTTGCGACGAGAGCAAAATAACGTCGATAAGCATCGTTCTATAATTAATCACATTTCAGGTAATCGGGTAATGATCTTAATGCAATGAGCACAGATATTATATAGGAAATATGAGGAAATCATTTCAAAGGAGAAAAGAGTGAACCTGCAATGAACCATAATATGATTTTCATGGAGTTTTGTTCTTTGAGCTGGATGGTATGGTCGTAGAGCTTTCATCGTTCTTGTGAACGAAATTATCAGCACAAACTTCAGATAGAAGCTAAGTGTTCGAATTTCTCCATATGTGTTTCACCGCTTGTTCTGTGCACCTCGACGTTGATTGGTTCTTATTGACCTTAAATTTATCATTGCTTACTTCCTTGTTTTGTTTGTGTCTCCCATTGGTTTGATTTTCGTTCCTGTATTTATGCATGATTTTCCTGATTGATTGATAAATTAGATGGGTCTCAATGTGCTTGTTGATTGCTGACTGACCCGAGTGCCAGGCTTCTAAAAATTCTCTGGTGTTTTTGGAATTTCCTCTGTCCAAGATTTCCACATTTTTCCAATCGAATGAGTGTCCGTAGTTATCCACGTGTATTGATATAAGTGAAGAGATATCATGTCGTTTGACTGCTAATTGATGTTCATGTAGGCGTAGGTGGAGGGGGCGTCCGCTTTGTCCGATGTAGTGTTTGTCGCAGTTGGTACAATTTATTTTGTAGATGATGTTTGATTTGTTTTCCTTTGTTATTTCATCCTTTGGTTTGCATAGGATTGATTGTAGTGATTTTGTTGGTTTGTGTGCCGCGCCTATCCCAAAGGTTTTCAGCAGTCTCGTTGTGGTTTCTGAAATTTCCTGTATGTACGGTAGGGTGATTCTTTTGTTGATTTTTGTGCTTGACTTGGGCTCTGATGCTGTGTGCCGTGGGTGCTTTTTGATGAAGTTGATTGGGTAGCCGTTCTTTTGAAATATGTCTTTCAGGTATTTCTCTTCATTTTTTCGTGCTTACAGTGTGCTGCAGTGTGTCATCGCCCTCTTGAACAATGTGTGTACGCAGTTGATTTTGTGAACTCTTGGGTTGTTGCTGTTGTAGTTGAGAATTTGATCTGTATGGGTGGGTCGGTTTCCTATGTACTTGAGTTTCCAGTTTTCCTGTATCAGTTCTAGTGATCAATATATCCAAGAATGCTAGTTGGTTGTTTGACTCCTGTTCCATTGTGAACTTGATGTCATTGAAAACGTTGTTGATCAGTTTGTATGTGTTTTCCAGTTCATTCTTTTTGACGATGACGAAAGTGTCGTCTACGTAGCGAATTCAAATTTTTGGCTTGATCACTGGTAATATCGTGGCTTCTAGTCTTTGCATCACTGCCTCCGCGATCAGTCCTGATATTGGTGATCCCATTGGTGTCCCTTTTGTTTGTTCGTAGATTTTGTTGTTGAATTGAAAATATGTTGTTAGGCATAAATCGATGAGTTCCAGTAGACTTTGAATTTGAAGCTTCGTGTATTTGTTGAGATTTGTGTCGTTGTCGAGTAGCAGGGATATAGTTTCTTTTGCTAACTGTGGTTCAATTGAGGTGAACAGTGCTGTTACGTCGAAGGATATCATGAGTTCGTCGTTGTTGATTTGAATATCCTTAATTTGGAGCAGGAATTGTGTTGGAGATTTGATGGAGTGTTTGGCTGAATCTACTAGATGTCTCAGTATTCGTGAAATTTCTTTTGACAAATTGTACGTTGGCGTTCCGGGGAGTGCTACTATTGGACGTAGTGGAATGTTTGGTTTGTGTATTTTGGGTCTGCCGTAGAATCGAGGAAGTACTGGTCCACTGTATTTCATTCTCCATTGGTCTTGTTTTGTTATTTCTCCTGCTTTGACTAGCTTGTTTAAAGTCTTTGAGATTTGGTTGTCTAATTTTTTGACGGGATTTGTGTCCATCAGTTTGTATGTGCTCTTATCTTCGAGTAGTTCTTCGGCTTTGTTGACGTATTCTTCTTTGTCCATGATTACTGTGGTGCGTCCTTTGTCCGCTGGTATTATGACAATATCCTTTCTATTTCTGAGTTCTTTCAGGACCTTTTGTTCTTGTGAAGTCATTTGGTTGTTTTCTTTCACCTGTTGAGTTATCGGTACTATAGTTTGCCTTATTTCCTGTTGTGTTTCTTCACTGATTCCTGAAGTTTTGAGTGATGACTCTAGTGCTGCGAAGAACTCCAGCTTTGAGGCGTCGCTTGTATTGTAGTTTAATCCCTTTTGGAGCAGGTGTTCTTCTGTATTTGTTAGTGGTTGTTTTGACAGATTGATCACGCAGTTGTTTGTGTTTTCCTCAATGGGTGGTTTTGAGATCTTGATTAGTTTTTTTCTTTAAGGTGTTTCTTCTTTGTTCTCTATGTCGTTTGCATGATATCTCGATGGCTGTTGTCACGATTTCCAAATGTTCTGATGTGAGCATCCTTTGTAGCTTTATCTTATGGTCCTCTATGACGTGTTGGTATTTGCGGATCCTGTAGTGTGCATCCGTTATTATTAGGTGTAACATTTTTCTTCCACTTTGCTCAGCTATTCTCCATCCTAATGGGCAGTTGATTGGAGGTCTATTCTTACACTTGTTGGTAGAACATGCTGGCGAAGACACTTATGGAGAAAATATAGTTGTGCTCGAGTGGAAACCTGCCTATTGGCGGGAGAGGACCATAAGATAAAGCTACAAAGGATGCTCACATCAGAACATTTGGAAATCGTGACAACAGCCATCGAGATATCATGCAAACGACATAGAGAACAAAGAAGAAACACCTTAAAGAAAAAAACTAATCAAGATCTCAAAACCACCCATTGAGGAAAACACAAACAACTGCGTGATCAATCTGTCAAAACAACCACTAACAAATACAGAAGAACACCTGCTCCAAAAGGGATTAAACTACAATACAAGCGACGCCTCAAAGCTGGAGTTCTTCGCAGCACTAGAGTCATCACTCAAAACTTCAGGAATCAGTGAAGAAACACAACAGGAAATAAGGCAAACTATAGTACCGATAACTCAACAGGTGAAAGAAAACAACCAAATGACTTCACAAGAACAAAAGGTCCTGAAAGAACTCAGAAATAGAAAGGATATTGTCATAATACCAGCGGACAAAGGACGCACCACAGTAATCATGGACAAAGAAGAATACGTCAACAAAGCCGAAGAACTACTCGAAGATAAGAGCACATACAAACTGATGGACACAAATCCCGTCAAAAAATTAGACAACCAAATCTCAAAGACTTTAAACAAGCTAGTCAAAGCAGGAGAAATAACAAAACAAGACCAATGGAGAATGAAATACAGTGGACCAGTACTTCCTCGATTCTACGGCAGACCCAAAATACACAAACCAAACATTCCACTACGTCCAATAGTAGCACTCCCCGGAACGCAAACGTACAATTTGTCAAAAGAAATTTCACGAATACTGAGACATCTAGTAGATTCAGCCAAACACTCCATCAAATCTCCAACACAATTCCTGGACCAAATTAAGGATATTCAAATCAACAACGACGAACTCATGATATCCTTCGACGTAACAGCACTGTTCACCTCAATTGAACCACAGTTAGCAAAAGAAACTATATCCCTGCTACTCGACAACGACACAAATCTCAACAAATACACGAAGCTTCAAATTCAAAGTCTACTGGAACTCATCGATTTATGCCTAACAACATATTTTCAATTCAACAACAAAATCTACGAACAAACAAAAGGGACACCAATGGGATCACCAATATCAGGACTGATCGCGGAGGCAGTGATGCAAAGACTAGAAGCCACGATATTACCAGTGATCAAGCCAAAAATTTGAATTCGCTACGTAGACGACACTTTCGTCATCGTCAAAAAGAATGAACTGGAAAACACATACAAACTGATCAACAACGTTTTCAATGACATCAAGTTCACAATGGAACAGGAGTCAAACAACCAACTAGCATTCTTGGATATATTGATCACTAGAACTGATACAGGAAAACTGGAAACTCAAGTACATAGGAAACCGACCCACCCATACAGATCAAATTCTCAACTACAACAGCAACAACCCAAGAGTTCACAAAATCAACTGCGTACACACATTGTTCAAGAGGGCGATGACACACTGCAGCACACTGTAAGCACGAAAAAATGAAGAGAAATACCTGAAAGACATATTTCAAAAGAACGGCTACCCAATCAACTTCATCAAAAAGCACCCACGGCACACAGCATCAGAGCCCAAGTCAAGCACAAAAATCAACAAAAGAATCACCCTACCGTACATACAGGAAATTTCAGAAACCACAACGAGACTGCTGAAAACCTTTGGGATAGGCGCGGCACACAAACCAACAAAATCACTACAATCAATCCTATGCAAACCAAAGGATGAAATAACAAAGGAAAACAAATCAAACATCATCTACAAAATAAATTGTACCAACTGCGACAAACACTACATCGGACAAAGCGGACGCCCCCTCCACCTACGCCTACATGAACATCAATTAGCAGTCAAACGACATGATATCTCTTCACTTATATCAATACACGTGGATAACTACGGACACTCATTCGATTGGAAAAATGTGGAAATCTTGGACAGAGGAAATTCCAAAAACACCAGAGAATTTTTAGAAGCCTGGCACTCGGGTCAGTCAGCAATCAACAAGCACATTGAGACCCATCTAATTTATCAATCAATCAGGAAAATCATGCATAAATACAGGAACGAAAATCAAACCAATGGGAGACACAAACAAAACAAGGAAGTAAGCAATGATAAATTCAAGGTCAATAAGAACCAATCAACGTCGAGGTGCACAGAACAAGCGGTGAAACACATATGGAGAAATTCGAACACTTAGCTTCTATCTGAAGTTTGTGCTGATAATTTCGTTCACAAGAACGATGAAAGCTCAACGACCGAACCATCCTTTTTAGAGAAAAAACTCCATCAAAATCATCCACCTGAGTTACAAATCTTCCTCATCACCATAATATGATGCCTTCAACTGGTTTGGTGAGCAAGAGCACTACCAGTTGAAGATACTATGAGTCAATGGTTCGGAATCAATTCGAACAGTGGAAAAGTACGCTACATCGTTTTTCGGGATTTAAAAAATATACTACTATTCTATATTTGTCTCGTTTTCCTAAAGTTTGTTTTGACGCCGAAATATTCTGATGATTTTCTCTTTGTAAGCATTATATTAAACAAGGTTTTATTTAGTTTACATCAAGTCATCAGTCTGTGCTGACTTCTAACTCGAGTCCATTTAAGGAAAACTACGAAGGGCAGAAAAGCCAAAAATTATTTACTGTCTACAGACAATCAAACTTTGCCTATACGAATTAATTTTCACCACTGAAGGTACTAAAGGTCATACACTGTCTTAGAGCTTTTTTGATGGAACGGATAAAATACTCCTGATAGTTTGTAAAAATGAGTGGGAACGAAAAACTTTATCCAGAAAACAATATGCATAAAAATCCTAATTTGGGGAGTTACATCATTAGCTAGTATTGAACAGGGAGATCAGGTCATATAGTTTTATAAAATGAGTTCACAGTCATATCAGAAACCTTTAGATATTTTTACTCAAACCGATCAATTTAAGGACTTGATTAATCTGAATAAAATTTACATTAAGAAAGGAAGGAGCGCTGCAGTTCAATAAAAAGTGGACAGAACTTTTCATTTGAACCTTGTTATTCGCAGTTACACCTGATTTCTATTGTAGTCAATTTCGAATAAAAGACTCCCAGTTAGGTGAAGAAATAAGCGGATAGAGCAGTGCTGAAAAGTCCTAAATTAAGATAGAAAGTTTTTAATGTACATTAGTTTTAAAGAGATTACGGATATAAATTGGTCACTTCTTTGAACAGTCTGCTTTTTCTAGGAGATAATTTACAGAAAATGTAACACAAACTACCAAGATAAGTTTCATTCGCTATGGGCGTCATGTCCATAATTCGTACTCATGAAAAATATTGTGTTAAAATACAAAGAAATGCAAGAAAAATATTTCATCGTCTTAAATAACAGTTTATTGAAGGATTGAAAGATAAGCGTAATAGTTTAACCAGCATAAACTTACTTTTATGAGCTCATCTTTATCGTCCTCTAAAGCCGACTTATCACTATATCGTCCACGATTAATAGCCATATCAGCATCTGCCGTAAATGGACTATCAATTACACTATCGTTGAAAGCTCCTCCTTTGATTAAACTTTTACCCTGTTGAACAGCCGCTGTTTGTTCCTATGAGGAAAGTTAATAAAAACTTGTTTAGTGATATAAAAAGATTTTTAGCGACGAATATAGTTAAAAATATAATATTATAAAGATACATTCAAGCACATTAATTTTACTGTGGACTGAATTAAAAGATTAGACTAACCAAATTGATAAGGTAGCACATTATTTCTTGTTGTCTGGCAAATTAGTGCTTAACTTTTATTCTGAAAAAACCTTTAATGAACAGATTAGACGAACTATGGCTATCAATGAAATCCTGGACGCACGTTTCGTCACTTTTGAGACTCATGAAAGGGATGCATCAACGGGTTAATTTAGGCATTCCCAAATAAATATATGAACTTTCAATGAATCCTTACCGAAATCTAGTTACTTGGGCAGTGAAATGATGAGGGACTTTTAAAAATCATCAAAACGAGAGAAAAGTTGGACTAACTTCAAGTCTGGGAAGAATTTCTGAGTTGTTCAACTAACTTTTTTGCTGAGAAATAAACCAGTTTGGTGGGACTGCATACCACTGATGAATAAATGACAGTGACTGTGAAAAAACAGACAGAGTCACAAAGGACAAAGTCATGCACATAAGTAATTTGTGATTTCTGACGCTAAATCAAAGTTATTAAGGATTCCTTCTGACTAAGAAGTATTTTAACGGTAAGAGGATAATTATAATAAAATGAGAGATCCGTTTATGATTTCTAAAAACCGAATTAGAAGATCTGATAGTGTCTCACATCTAAAAAATGCACTTCGATTTACTACCTGATGGCTTCAAAGATGAAAATGAAGCTAAAGAAGCAATGGACAACTGGAGAAAAGTCATTACAAATGTTCAATACAGCCTTCCTTCGAAATACTGACCAACTCAACGAATTGAAGACAGCTCTCAACAACAGATTCCAAGCATTACAAGATCTACTCAAAGAAGAGGAAACTACTATGGAGGACAACTCAAAAGGTGTTAAAGAAGCAGTAACTTCAACGTGTCAGGAAGTGCTGGGACGCAAGAAGCATCATCGTAAGGAATGGATCTCTATCGAAACCCTGGACAAAATTAGAGAAGGGAAGAACATGAAGACAACAATTAGCAACAGCCGAACGCGAACAGAGAAAACCAAGGCACACGATGAATGCACAGAACCAAAATAGCGAGTAAATTCCAAATATAGAGATCATCCATTTAGATTAGAGAAACTATAACTGATAGAACGATACAAACAACTGGTCGATTTTTTCTTAACTTTGATGAAGTATTAATCAGGTGTTTTATCCGATAATGGACAGTTTATGATCCCGATAGGACGTAAAGAGAAACGTACTGAAGTTATATTTTGATATCAAATTTTATTAGAATCAGAAATCCATAAGAGCTGACTAACGTCTTATTTCTTCTAAAGTAATAAGTAGTGATTTTAATTATGCACAGAACCACCGTGACAAGCTCATAATTCAAACATGGATTTCCCATCATCCGTTTATATATTGAGAAGACGGGATGACCAGGAGATGTGAGGGACCATGACGACCAGTCAAATAATTACGGAACTGAGGAGATACAAATTGAAAGTGCTTGAAATGAGTGAAAACTATTGGAACCAAGATAGATAGAATAGAGTAGATTCGGCAGAGATACTGTTGTACTTTGATCATGAAAAAGAGGATGCTTCACCCACACACTGGGAGTTGCACTGATGGTAAGAACTGGGAGAAAGGGACGAGAATGGCGAGAAATTTTCAGATTTATGTGCCTTCAATAAAATGACCATAAATGACCCCATATTCCCCCACAAACACAAACACAAATCTTCATGTGTCTCACTGGATCACAATACAGAGAACCAGATCAAAAATATTTGAACCACTACAAAATTCAGAAGATCCATGTAAGACGTGAGATCCAAGAGAGAAATCGACAAGTAGAAATGCGTGGAAGACCTAGCAATAAAAAGAAATTACAAAGGTTCAATACAGCCTTCCTTCGAAATACTGACCAACTCAACGAATTGAAGACAGCTCTCAACAACAGATTCCAAGCATTACAAGATCTACTCAAAGAAGAGGAAACTACTATGGAGGACAACTCAAAAGGTGTTAACGAAGCAGTAACTTCAACGTGTCAGGAAGTGCTGGGACGCAAGAAGCATCATCGTAAGGAATGGATCTCTATCGAAACCCTGGACAAAATTAGAGAAGGGAAGAACATGAAGACAACAATTAGCAACAGCCGAACGCGAACAGAGAAAACCAAGGCACACGATGAATGCACAGAACCAAAATAGCGAGTGAAGAGGAGCATCAGAGCCGACAAGCAGAAATACGTGGAAGACCTAGCAGTGATAAAGGAATAAGCTGAAGGAGAAGGAACTTTGAGACAAATATATAATACAACGAAGAAACTGGTAGGGAAATATGGTAAACCAGAGAGGCCGGTCAAGGACAAAGAAGGCAAACCAATCACCGAGATTCAAGGTCAGTGGAACAGGTGGGCAGACCACTTTGAAGAACTCGTGAGTAGACCGGTCCCAATGAACCTATCGGACAACGAAGCAGCATACACTAACCTCCCTGTTTATATTACTCCATCAACAAGCGAAGAAATCACGATAGCCATCAGACAAATCAACAATGAGAAAGCAGCACGACCTGACAACATACCAAACAAAGTATTGAAGTTAAACACAAGGTCAACTGCAAAGATGCTCCACATTCTCTCCAGAAAGAACTGCGAAGAACAAGTACCACAAACAGACTGGAAGGGAGCACACCTCATCAAGATATCAGAGAAAGGAGATCTCAGCAAATGTAAGAACTACACAGGCATCATATTACTATCGGTACTATCAAATGTTCTCAACAGACTGATGCTTAGCCAGATGAAATATTCAATAGACGCCAAACATCCAGATCAACAGACCGGATCCCATGAGGATCTGTCATGCACATACCACATCGCGACACTACGGATCATCGTTGAACAATCAATTGAATGGAACTCGTCACTACACATCAACAGCCTTGACTATCAGACAGTATTCGACGGTGTGGATAGGAGAACCTAATCGAACATTCTTCGATACTATGGAGTGAGTAGCTGAGAACATCGTCAACACCATTCGGAATTCATACGACGGATTACACTGCAAAGTCATGCATGGAGGACAGACAGATCACAAATGCATTTCAAGTGGTGACTGGTGTCAGACAGGGCTGCTCTGTCTCCCCCTTTCTCTTTCTTCTGGTTTATGAAGACCTCTACATCTGAGGTGAAGCATGGAATACAATGAACAGGTTGGATGCAACTAGACGATTTGGACTTCTCAAATGACCTAGATCTTTTATCCCATATACACCAACAAACTCAGGCGAAGACAGTCAGTATGGTGGCAGTTTCTCTTGCAATAGGTCACAACACACACAAGAGATAAAACAAGGTCTTGAAATATCTTGAGATAAGATTTCGCTGTATTGCGGAGAGTGATGAAGGCAGTTACTAGGGTGTGGTTAATTATACGAAGTTATTATTAATATGTTTGTGGACAGATATTTAAAATCTTGCAAAATACTGGAGGGTGTTCTTTTATCAGATGTTAACTATCCACTTCATTTTCCTAGTATATGATAAACCGTTTACTGGTTACATTTTTCCATAAATGAAATGTCTATGCTACAGTTTTAGTTATATGGCGGATAGTATTTATTTTAACATATTTATAATTTTTACTTGGTTTCTCCTTGATATTTGTCTAATCATAAATTGGGAATCATTTTAAATCATTCAACAGTTGAAAACTAAGGCGATCATGAGCAGTGGTTTCCTCAGGATTGCAAGCACACTTTGCTGATAGATAAAAAGTATGAAGTTCGAGTTTAGATATCCGAAGTCGAATATTTTTTGTTGCTATTAAACCGAACGAACTAGGTTAAACTATATTGACAGTTCTAAAAGCTGCATAAGTGATGATCATGAACAAACATAAGTCTTCACAACAGCACCCGTTTGAAACATGTTTTGAATTGTTAAATAAAGTCAATCGTAAATTTCTAACAGTAACTTTTAGCGATGCGCTGTGATAATGAGTGAATTTTTGTTGTTTATTTAGTAAAAAGACATTAAATTTAATACTATTAAAATATGAAAGCCTCTGTACAGCTTAGGCAGTACGCTCAATATGAACTTAGTAAGGTAGAACTGTGTATTTAAGGAGTGTGCTTGAAACTTTGTTTAACCATAACATTTTTTATACACAGAAACCATCTTTGAAAAGTCGTAAAATAGAAGTAAAGTAATACATGTTGACTAACGTACAGTAAACTTACAATTGGTATCATCTGCATTAATTTAGGGATCTCCTGGGTTAACATAATGTCGACTTGTTCAATAAGCCTTTCTTTAAGAGAGGGGAAGTTTGTAAAATCCTGTTCACTCAAAATACTCTGCATATGAGAGAGTTTAGGGAAGTCACCAGAAGATATATGGTGTAAACGTGAAATAGAATCATATATCTGCTGTAAATTGTTAATAAGTTCTTGCTTCTTTTTGCTTTTCCCAACGATTGAAGGCATCTGTTTCTTAAGATGACCAATTATGTAGGCATGTACCTAGGTAAGATCAGAAGGATAGTTACTCGTCGTTAGTAAAATATATGAAGGTAGACATTCTCCACAGTTCAGTTTAGTCGTAAGCCGAATCAGCTTTTACCAGTAAACACATACATATTCCTCTACGAGCTGTTAATTACAATTATTAATCGAGGGTCCAAAGTAATGACCTATTCACCAAGCCCTAAAAGATTAAACGGGGTTTGGACCTTATAAACTATCTAATATTAAACCCTGTATACGAAAGTACACAGCACGAAGTTACACCTTAACAGTTTAAAAAACTAACCGCTAAATTGTGCTCGAAACTGGTTTTATCTACTTTGAGTTAAACACCTGTAGCTTTCAAAGATTAATACAAGAATGTAGACCTGTCTAGTTACATCATTTACCTTAATAAAAGTATATTCTGTGTAATTTTTCAGTATTTAATCTACGTATCTCACTATGTTAAGAAGTTTATTTTGTCTTGTTTAGTGTCTATGCTCTCTTTTTCAAAAATATATCCCACTAGTTTCTTTGTAGATTGCTTCGACTGATTCTGAATTGCATTAAATGAGTCAAGCGAAAGTAAAGTTTTTAAACATAATCTGCGTATGCCTTCAACGAGGTGGGAAAACATCGAAAGTTTATAACCTGATAGTTTACATTGGTTCACATTGCACAAATCCATATCAGGTCAATGAAGATATATCAGCACGAATAAAAAGTGAAAGTAACAAAGCTAATAGTTATAGGAAAACCCGAAAAATAGGTCAATAAATTGATCGAACGGGTAGATAAAAGTAGGAATTGATACTACATCAAGCAACTAGGTTATAAAAAATGGACATATGTAAGCCAGCGATATTAGTATTTTAGATATGGAACATGAAGTTTTCAAATACAGACTTGCGGAGTTCCGTTTTTTGAACTGCGTGGTTATATGTACATCTCTCTGTACAGCAACCAATAAAATTTCAGAACTTAGGTCTTTTTTGCCATGGTTTGGGTGCCCTTACCGATATTTTTATCTATTACTATGGGGACCAGTATAATGCACCAGAGTTAGTGTATTCGAACGAAAGGTGTTACAGGCACATTAGTGAAGGTTCGGAACAAATGATTTATTTATTTGGACACATATTGGTATAAGGGGGTACCAGATATATATGCGCCACACCGGAACAAATGATTATTTCAACATACGCAAGCAACGCTTTAAAGATGCTTAATATCGTATACTAGCAACCCAACCAATTCTTTTACTTACAAAACCATATTTCACAATTGTAAGGAAATACATGTAGTATTACTTTAAGGTTTACTTGCTTTTTATGACAAGTTGTATAAATCAGCTGTTATAAACAACCGAGATGGTACGTTACACTTTAATTCGATATTAAACTCGATTGCGGTAAAGACCACCACTGTCTTGACCAGCATAAAAGCTGAAGTACCAAGGTGCTATTTGGTTAAGTCAAAGATCATCAAGACTTGGGACCAACTGCCTGAATTTCTAGTAAAACGTAGAGTTTATAATGGATGAGTAAAGGATACAAACCTTAAAATTGTTGCAGTTTTCTTATGTTTCTAGTGGCCCAGTAAACGGAAGAAAGAACTTGAATCAGAAATAGCGTGTTACTAATACCGATTTAGAATGACGTCTTTTCATTTAATTCTGCTTAAAGTAGATTTAAAGGTGCTTGCTATTGTAAGGTTCAATTACCCAACAAGAGAATATGTATGAACAAAAGACATAACGAACGCTAAACCTATATTTTATTGCGGCACCCTAACATCCACAACAAAAACGCATTTGAAAACCAACATAAACAAAAGCTGATTGGTACAACAAAATAATGAAGATCAAACTTACTTTAGCTAGCCTTGCTCGTCGTATCATATCATTTAGTTTTCGCATGGCCGCGTTAGAAGGCAAACTTCGAAGGTCTTTAAATAAATCCTGTGACTCCAACTCAAATAAGTGACGGTTAACGTCATATCGCAGTGGTCGGTCCCAAAATGACCCGATAAATACTCTAACAACTTCCGGAGTCCCTAATACTTTACCAAGACCCCACATTAATGCTCCGTAAACGCGCATCAATTGTTGTGCATCAATCATATCAGCTTTATTAAGAACAATACGGACTTTGTCGTCATAACCTCTGAGAGATTCTATCACTCGCCTAAACTCGTCCGATATATCGAGTTTATAAGCGTCGAAAAGCAGGATTATTCTGTCAACATGTTCTGCAAACCACTGAACAACAGCTGTGAAGTCATAACCGCGATCTAACCTCTGTTTTTCACCACTTAATATACCAGGTGTATCAATAATGACTATGCTGTCCAGAACAGGATTCCGAAGTTGGCAACATTGAAAGCGGTTCAGAAAGTTATTTCCGAATTTCGAAAGAGGGCGAAAAGGTTTCTGGGCGTCGACAACAAGAGCATTCCCAGGAATAATGCCTTCATCCCCAGACATAACAACACTAAATCTGTCGGTTGTCGGCTCTGGGCCAATATGCATACCCGGGAAGGCGGATCCTAGAAGGTATTTGATAAACGTGGTCTTGCCCGTAGAATACTGACCCAAAAGAAGAATCATTGGCTTGGAACTAAATTCCCCTGCATCAAGTGTTGGTGAATGAAACTGTGGGAACAAATATGTCACTTCCAAAGGCTTCAGTCTTCTGTCGTAAAGATCTCTTAACCCCTCTACTACACTAGAAAAATTCCAGTTTTCTTCCTTGGTTTGGGAGAATTTCATGTCTGGAATCCAAATACTTAGTAAAGTGTAGCGAGTAACTCGATCAGTTGGCTGGAATTGCCGTTGGATTAAATTCCCCGATGATATAAGTGTATATTTTCAGCTTGGTCTGCTTCCAACTAATTGTGACTGCCAAACTAAATGTACTGATCCAATCAAATAACCAATAATTCCAAATCAATGGTAGCCCCGATCTACAGTGTTGTTGATGTTACACCGCAAACCTTTAACCTTAGCGCTAGAGCAACGTTCAAATGGTTCAAATTGTTGTGGACGGAATAGAAGAAGCTTTCGCTTAACAGGCTTCCGTGTCAAGTAGCAAGGGATCATCAAATCCTCCAGGCAGGAACCTAGGTATGTTAACAATAAAACAGGAAAAGATATTAGTAAATCATAGTTCGATACTATCCTTAGTCCTTAAGAATAGATCAAGTTGCCTCTTAAAGGACTCCTGGGAAGTCGCTTGGACTAGCTCGGCCGGCAGCCAATTCCAGCACTTGACAACTCTTAAGGAGTAGAAGTTGTGTCTACAGTCCGTTCTGCTATGTTGTGTCTCCAGTTTTTGGGTGTTACCTCTTAGGTTAGTGTTGGAACTAAGCTTAAGTAGGTGTTTGAGAGGATGTCCAGAAGTGTTAAGGATACTATAGGCCATCAGAAAGTCATCTCTAAGACGTCTATACCCTAATGGGTAGAGGTTAAGTGAATGGAGGCGCTTTTCATAAGGTTTAAACTTGAGTCCTCGAACTGATTTCGTGGCTCGCCGTTGAGTACTCTCCAGGGTGTCCTTATCCTTTTGGAGTGAGGGGGGAAATACTATGTTTCCATACTCTAAATGGGGACGGATAAAACTATTGAAGATTATATGGAAAGTTCCTCCGTCTAACTGGCCAAAAATGCGCTTCAATGTTGCCAGTGCAAGGTTTGCTCGGAAGGCATTTTTGTCACAGTTAGCGTAAGACTTTAAATCGTAAGGCACCAAGACTCCTAAATCTTTTTTGACTTGGGATACTACTAGAGAGGAGTTACCTAAGTTATAACTGTAGTCTGCGACATGTCGCAGATGGACTACTTTACACTATGAATTGTTAAAGGTAAGTCCGTTATCGTCGAGTCAGATCCTCCTGAAGTGCCTATATATCGTCTTGGTTGCGTATCTCTCTCCAAAGTTTCACGTCGTCGGCAAAAGGTAATAAGTCTGACGTTACTTGTTGAGGAAGATGATTTATGTAGATCAAGAAGAGAAGAGGTCTTAGAACTGAGCCATGGGGGACCCCACTAGGACATTCCGTAGCCTGAGATAAAGTGAAATTAACCCTGACCTTAAGATGTCGGTTTTTCGAGTATGAAGTGAGCCAATCGATTAGAGGTGGTATGATACCCAATCGTATGGTTAACCTTATCAAAAGCTTTTGAGAAATCTAGGTAGGTGATATCAACCTTCCCCTTGTGATCAAGGATGGTTGTCCATCTGTCCACCGCAGTCAGCAGGTTGGTAATACAAGAATAACCCTTCCTGAAACCGTGCTGTTGGGGTGTGAAAAAATTTATGGACAGTAAACAGTCGTTTATACCATTACATATCAGGGACTCCATGATTTTTGAAGGTATGGAGGAAAGAGCCACCGGTCGGTAACTTGAAGGTTCTCTGCGTCGATGTGTGATGTGAGCCAGCTTCCAATTTTTCGGTAATTTGCTTCGAGTGTGAGAACATCAACGTTGGAATGAAGTGCCATATAAAGTGTTGATCACTTAACCAAATCTGAAGGGACTTTCTTAAACTTCAGAACTTTATTTTACAGAACATACGGATTATTTTAACTTTGAAACATACTTCTGTGTGGTATAGAAGTTCTATTTTTAGTAGAAATATGCGGTCACTGTAACATTATTTCTTAAACTAAAGAGTAAAACAGTTTAGTCAATGACAGTAACAGCGATTGAAAGGTAGTGCCTGGAACAATAGCTAAGGAAACGAGATAGATTTCGAACTTTTTTAGAAAGACTCTGGAAAGGATCTTATTGCTTCGGTATTCACTGAATCATCTGATATCATTCTGTGATAGAAATTACTTCCGAACTGTACAATTTTCTGTAATTCTTTAATTTATCTTGTATAACGTTGAGTTATTTGAATAAGTCGTTGGCTAATCTTCAGATACCCACTTTGGTATTGAGATTATGTTGATGTTTCTTCACATCTTTGGTGTGTGTTTGATTGATAAGGATTCGTTAAAGGTGCTCAAGAACGGATAATACAGAACGTCAGTACACTTTTGAAAACAGCATGACTAAGATTTCATCAGATTCTTAACATTGGAGTGGATTAAGTGACTAAATACGTTTTTGTACGTCAGCTTCAGTGAAAACTGTAACACAACTTGTAACGGTAACAACATGCTGAAAGTACCTACAAAGTGTTTTGTTGAATATTTTTTTAATTCATTGTTCTTTTTCCCCGTCTTCTAATTTACCCTCAACTCAGTTTTCTTCTCTTTCCTTCAGTCTTCTTTGTTGAAACTACTATTATTTGACTTTGGCTCAAGATTTACCCTTATTACTTAATTTCACTGTCGTATGTTGATGGGCCATTGTTTAAGTCTTATTTGGCCAAATCCGAGGTACAGAGTGGGTTAATTGATGACTGCCGACCTTTGACCGTGATAGGAACGGTTACTGGAATCCCTAAGGTTGGATATTTGACCCGATCTTATCGGGAATTTCGGCCTTCACATAACTCTTCTTCGAACTTGGATATATTCGAAGCATGACGTCAGATGATCGATGCACAAAAGACTTATTTAAGTCACAAACATCCAGCTGGTTTTCGTCATTGACACAACTCCTCCATATAGGCACTTTGATGGTTTCCACATACTTTAAGTGTTTTTACCAGATAGGATTTATTGAGTGAAGATCGAGCTGCGACGTTTGGTTCGTTAGACCATTTTGCCTTCGAACATTATTGGTCTGGGTTGTTTAAGTCTTTTTCACCAATGCGGATCACTAATGTTGGCTATGGATCTGCTTATATAGAACGGAGGAGGTTTGACCTCTTAACTTATACTGTAGTCACAACTTGCAAGTAATATCTAACTTCTTTTGTCTTTTCGTGACAACCACATAGAATAAATCTTTTTGATTAATGGCCGCTGACTAGTAGGCATTGATGGTGGGGGCGACAACTTTAACCCACCTTTGTCTGTGGGGTAGAACATTTTGTTCATATCATGCTTTTTATGATTGAGAGCGAGTCAATCAGTCAGTGTTATTGAGGTTGTTCTCCTACACTCATTATTCAGACTCAAGTTTCTAACATTATGTTGGATTAGCTATCCTACCAAGCGAAACTATAACATGCTAACTCGTACTTTTACATTAGGATGTAGTGGCTGGCATCAGATGAAAAGAGAATCCGAAAAGTCAAAGGATGAAATATATAGTTATCGGTGTTTCTTAAAATTTACTCTCTTGATGCACTTTTGATTCAAATAAACAGTTTTCTTTATTTTAACTTCGACATTCTATCATCTGAGCTTACTCCACCCTGTTACGTATCACAATTCATCGTTCTTTGTTACTGCCTTCCTTTATCTTAGGGCTCTAGCCACATTTAACCCTAGCAGCAGGACCTAGTATGAATTTAATCTACATATTTATCACGCCTTTGTCTTTCGATTGTAAGGACACTCCTACGGTTAATTTCAATCATGGTCAACCTTTGCCGAGCCCATTTATAATGATGATGGTGATAATAATAATAATAATAATAATGATAATAATAATAATTTATTCTCAAATAACAGTTTGCTACATGAGGCATGCCAGTTTACAGGCAAGATCAAATCGATACAAATGATACAATATCCACTGTAGTAAATTACAAAGCTGGGTTGATAATTTATAAGATATGAATGTAGATGGTTTTAATCAGTCCCATAGTTGTCGCGTTTCATGACAGTTGAGTTGCAAATGTGCAACTGATGGTCAAGGATAGGTCCATTGAAGGTGGGAGCTTCTAAATGTCGCAACTTTATGTCCTTTTGAAATGTCTAAGGTTTTGAGCGTGGTGCAGGATGAAATATTTCGTTCCATATCTCAAGGGGGCTGAAAGAGAGAGCAAGTAAAAGAAAGGACGAGAGGCAGAGTAGCCAATATTCATGAAGGAATGTTTAAGGTATGATTACTCAGTCTAATTTTCTTTTATTAAGGTATTTGCTAAGAAAGAGCATTTTAATAGGTTAAAGAAATTAAGTGTTAACAAGGTGTGCGTGGACATACAATGGACAAATGGAGGCGATTCGGAAAAGAGCTGAGAGTATGGGATAATGTGTGGTTATAAAATAAAATATAGTGCCAGAAACAGTATTGTGATATACAGTTGACTATCTTCCTTTTATTATCGAAGCTATTAGAGCCCCTTTAGTTTTTTTGTATTGTTATTTTTTTCCAGGTATTATAGGGTCTTGAGTAGGCCTCGTATATTAGCAAACTGTCTAGTTTACTTGTAATAGGATTTCTGGGTAGGAAGTGAAACCACTTCAACGTTCGTAACACGATTTAAAGAGGTATTTTGCGTGATAAGTCAGCATCAATACCATAAGTTCGTGACATCCCACTAAACCATAAGGAGCCGTAATTAAACAAATTGTTCTGCCCTACAGACAAGGGTGGATTAAATTTATCTCCCCACCATCATGTTTGCTGGTCAGTAACGCCACCCTCCCTCCTTTTGTGATGTTAGACTCTCTTACGTTTGTGGTTAGTATGAACACTGCTTTAATCAAAGCCCATGGTTGGAATACACTGTCTCTACTAGGTCCATGTTACAAGCAAATCAGATAGTTGAAAAGTCTGTTTTATGGGTTAGATGTCCACATAGTATATCACACTTCTTATTTAACAGACTATGGTGTTAGTACGATAACAGTTCGTTTACTTCTTGATATCATTATGATCACTATGATGTCCATATAAACGTACACCCTTGATCACATGTGATAGTCCACACAAGTATCTCTCTAACCTAAATATTAATATCTTAAATGTGGCTTGATGGATCATCCTCTTTCCAATGCATGTGCTCGAATCCTGTTAATAGTCTTTAACGTACCTAGCTGCGCCCTGATTCGATTTGACTACAAATTTGCCTCTGTATTTGCTCGCTCACACATTAACCTTCCTACTCCAAATTCGCTCGATGTCCTTGTTACTACTATCAGTACAATTCGCTAATGAACTGTAGTCGCAGCTTCTTTTTACCTAGTGAA